GGCTCAATTACTTTTCTTCTTCAATAACTTCAACTTCTACATCATTATCCTTGCCTTTGGGTTCTTCATCCACTATGTTTAAGGCCCCATTTGGGTAATGAAAGGCCAAGTCACCAATTCCCCTATGACTACCACAGAACTGAGCAATCTCGAAGTGTCTTAGTTGCTCCACATTATCATCATGAGCTACTCTAAATCAAAATTTCTGAGCTAAAACCGAGGCCAGACAAGGGAACTCTCTTGAAGATGGATTTATCATGCTATTTTCTCGATTTTGAGCCTCATCTCTGAGTCGGCACCTACATTTTCGACATCCTTGTAGTGGATCCTTCCTCAATTAGCATAGTAAGGACCTAAAACATGGAATTCATCTTTTCGCCTCATCCCGCTAATTTTGGGTGAGTTTTGCTCCATTGTCCCTTCCAAACGAGTAGCCACTGACACATATATTGTGGGCATGCATTATCTTCATTTGTATAAAGTGAGAGAAAGAGTAGACAGAGATGGGCATCCATCTATTATGCAAATGCATGGGGAATCGAGCTCATGCACTAATCATTATTCCAACCCTTTTCAATATATTAATTTTCTCGTTTTTTTCAAAATATTATTTTTAACCTTTGTACACTTGTCCATGCACTGAAGTATCCTTCCATTTGTAGAGAGACAATCAATCATGCATATGCTAAAGAATGGAGCAAGAACGGCTGGTGGTCCCAGAAAAATCATTATTTCCATCTTTTTTTAAAGGGTGCGGTTTCTATAAGGTTGCAACCTTAAACAATCCAATTAAAGTGCACCTTAAAATTTTATCATAACATGTAATTTTGTTGTAAAAAATTCTTAGTATTATCTTAAAATTTATTTTCATACCTAATTAGAAAATTTTAAATTCCAAAAATGGTTAAAATCCAGTAGATCTATAAATATAAGAAAATCTTGAAAATGGACGGTCTAGATAATGTGCTGCAAGATGTACTTTTCTGAGATTCCGAAGCTTTTTTTTTTCATATTCATAGATTTTGATGTCAAGATGATTGATTAGAGGGCTTTTTCAATGTTAAAACAACATTTTCGATGAATTTTTGAGGTGCATATGTGATTCTATATTTTAAGGTTGCAACCTTAAGTAAACTTTTCCCTTTTTTAAATTAGTTAAATAGAATAAATGCAATGGGGACATCCATCAATCATGCAAGAGGAATTGAGCAAGGCCAGATGGTCATTCATAATTCATTACTCCCTTTGTGTTCTTTAATAAATCAAGAGGTACCCTTCTACACATTTAACTGCATTTAAGTGTATTTTTCTTTTTTATTTTCTATGGGGAGTGTTTTGAGACGGACCTAAGCGCCAGTATGGAGTCCGCCTGGGTGCTCGCCTAGGGAGGAAGGCGGGTGCCTAGGCACATGGCCGCTTAAAGCGAGCAATTATGCCCCTGAAGTTCACTGGCTTGCCTAACAGCCTAGGCAGTAAGGCAGACGAACTTTGAACACAGCTAAAAAGAAAATTATGAATTGTTCCTCCAAGCATGTGAACTTCGTAGATCCCACTCTCATAAGGGGGAACAAGATTGCAATCCCTTAGGGATTAGTCAATATAATTTACATCCATGTTAAATAGATCTTTAAGTCTTAAATGGATATCGATAAAAAAAGTCATCATCATACTGCAAAATCATGCTCCATATATTTTCCACATGGAAAATATATGCACTTGCCCACACCTATCCACAAAAAACAAAAAAAAAAAAAGGAACAAAAAGAAGAAAGTCTAATGATTAAAAAAACCTTAGGAGGGTACATTTTTTGGGGAAAGTATATAATGAGACCATTTACTTTTGGTACAAGGTAGTCACAATTAATCTTGACCATTGAAGGTGAAATTGGTGGTGGCATTTATTTCATTGACCAAGCTCAAACTTCAAAAGAAAATTTTCTCGAACTTTGTGACACACCTAAGCTATCAGATTTCACATCAGATAGTTATAATTAATTGTGACCTCCTTGTGCCAAAGGTAAATGGTCTCATTGTATACAATCCCTATTTTTTAAAAGGGCAAATATGCTTGCAACCATGTTGATTAAAAAAATAATAAAAGGATATTCCTAAATTCTATGGTTCCATAATCTTTCTGTTTGGGCTTTAGTTTCTTTTTTAATTTATAATGAAGGGTTAGGAAAAGAAAGGGCAAAACTTAGGTAGAACTTATTTTCACTGAAATCTATGGATAGCATTCATTGAACTATACAATACATTGACCAAATAAATAAATTGGTATATTATGTAAGACACTTACATGATAAGAGTTGAGTAAATAAATGTTAGTTTTAAAATTTATGTGAGAAGACATATCTGAGAGTAAAACAAATACATATTTAATATGTTCATTGTATATCTAAATTACTCAAAAAAACATTGTGTAAGTTTCTTCCGCTAATGATCCTTGACTCCTGCTTTCAACAACTATGATTTAACCTAGCCCTTTGTTATTAATTTATTTAAATTGCCCCTTTTAGGAAGAATGGCTTAGGATTTTAATCTAGGGATTGACTGTTGGGTTTAAAGCTAGATTCAACCTAGGGTCCCACCTTTGGCTCACTACTTCTGTGGGCAACCCTAGGAAAGACCACCATCAATTGTCAATGTTGACAATTCTTTGGGTTTGCTCTTAACATGAATGTACCTTCTGGTCATGTCCTTAGGAAAGCCAACTCACTGGCCGGCACTTTAGTTGATAATGGTATTAGTCACAAAAGTTTATATGTAGATCATAGTTAGCACTTCTCCAATTAAAACGTGATTATTTCAAAAAATCTCTACGTTCTTTGAGATCCTTCAAAAACTCAAAAGTTTTTCCAAAGTATCTTCAAAAAATTACATTTTTTATGGAAATGATATAAAATCACATTCATACTTTCTTTCAAAAAAAATTTACTTCCTAGAAAAACTTCCTTTCAAATCTTGCAAAATTTCACCTTGTTTGAAACATAGACTCGAAATCTTTGAATTTTGGTTAGGAGAAAGTTTACTATAAATGGGAACATATCAAGAATCTTTTCTTCATAATGTCATCAAAAGTTTGACAACAGCATTCCCAACAAAAAGTATTCCCCTAGAAAGTGGTCTCGAACAAATAGCCATACTCCGAAAGGATAGTAGGAAAGGGAAGTGTCACCTGATGAAAAATCAAACTTTCCTCTAAACCAAGTGCACCCTTGCTAAGAAGAAGAGACAATTACTCAGTCACAATAGAACATTGACGTGGCTGGAAATCCGGGGTGAGGCTTGAATATTTGGGCTTGGTTACAAAGACTGTTGAGTAAAAATGAGGCATCTATCAAGTTCTCTTTCTATGCATAAATTTGATTAAATTTCAGCCTTTATTGGGTTTTCTTTTCTTTCATTAGTGTACAAAAGGCAACAATTTGGATGGACCACTATTTCATATTTTTGGATTTTTGGGTTTTCGTTAATTAGAATCCTATAAAGAGGAGAAGTCCTGTACCTTGGTTGCTGTTCTTGATATTTCTTAATGTGATTTTTAAGTATTGTTTTGTCATTTGCTTCTGATAAAATCATTGTATGTTCATGCCATGACAGTGGAGGAAGCATACAATGTTATTTACGATTAATGAAAATTTAGACAAAAAAAATTCAAGTAGGAGCCATAAAATTATTATTCAGTGACTTTATTGTATCCTCACAATAAAGTCATTGCATGTGCCCTCTGGAAATTGTAACTTTGTTTCATGACATCTATAGATAGGTGATTTTTTCATTGTTTTTTTAGCCAAATCCAAAATATTCTCTAGTTTTTAATTAGCCTAATTTTTGGAGATCAATATTTTTTCCCAAATTCTTTGACTCTGAATTTTTGGATAAAAACCAGTTTAATATGGGTCTTTAGCTTTTCCATCTACTTCAGAACCATGCAAGTGACAGAGCATATTTTGACATGTCTGCTTTACAGTAGAAATATTGTGAAAGAGGGTTAGTCTATAACTAACGAGGGTGAATCCATATACAAAGAGTTGGGGTAGAGTTTTTTTTTTTTCTTTTTCTTTGTTTTTTTTTTTTTGAGAATTGTTAACTTAGGTAGAGGTACTGATAGCTGCCATATTTAGAAGCCTACAAACTTCGGATTTGGAGTTGTTAGTATTCCTTGATTTGCTAATTACGATGTAGATAGTATCAATTCTCAGGGATGGCATCTTGTTATCTCCATACTAATATACCTTTCTTGATTTATTTAATGCAATTTGTTGCATATCCAACTATATATATATATATATATATATATATATATATATATATATATATATATATATATATATATATATAATAATATATACTACTATATATACTAACTAAACTAACTAAGTACGTAAACGTAAATAACTACTACTTAACTTAACTAACTTACGTACTACACTAGTTAGGTTTACGGTTAAC